TCATAGGAATGATACTGTAGCTCTGGTCCTTACAAATTTCAGCACTCTAGAGATAGAAGTGGATGCCAGCCACCTGTGAACCGATGGAGATCTATCCTCTGATAAAGTTTCGGACAACTTTATAGGGCCGGACCAAGAAAAATTCAAAGCCTTATCTTCAGACAATTTCTTCCTTGACACTACTGTGTTTTCCAGCATGCGCATGCTAGAATACTGGTAGGATTTTCAATTTCTCCACAGGGTTGGTTTAATTCTCCAGGTCTGCTGATTCAAGAGATCACTGCAAGAGACTGGAGATCTGATCTAGCAATGGTGAGTTTGGTATTACTAATTTTGTACTGCTTTTACTCATTGGACAATAGAACTGCTTCTCATTAACTAATTGCCAAAACAATCACCTACATTTTTTCTGCCTGTTCTGATGAGCCTACTTTCTGAAATGAGGTGACTGGAGTACTGGTTATTTTGTCTGTGTATATCCCTTTCTCTTTGAGATCTTGCTCTGCAGAGATAACTACTTTTGTTGTCAAAGATTCCTTAGCGCTGAGAGCAAATGTGCTGCTCTCAATAGAGAGTTTCCTTCCACTATTACAATCTCCACCTTTCTGGAATAAAGTGTTTTAAAGTTGCCATTTGGTGAATATATTGTCTCCTGTGGTTTATTGCATCTCAAGAGAATCTTCCTGACGCCATTTAACATTCTGTCACTGCTCTATTCTTACAGTTTTAATGCTGTTTATTATAACATGGCAAAATATATGAAAGCTGTTTAGGGAGACCACATCTTCAGCTGGAGCAAACAATTATCAACAAGCTTATACCAATACAGAATCCAAACAGAAGTAGCTTTATATGATACTAGCTGTGTGAAGATTGATAGATTTCTAATGACTTGTGTGTATATCACTTAAATATGTATGGCCATATTTAATTGGTGTTAAAAACTGTGCTGATTTGAATGTTATTTCTATCCCAGAGATTTAGAAACTCTTCCATATTCCCTCTTGACTAATGCTACCATTTTTATCTGTTAGCACTTTTACTACTGTTGCATTTCATCTAGTAATATTTTTCCCTGTATTACAACTTATCCTAAATAAGAATTTGTCAATTGCTTAAAAAAGAATATTTTTGTGAGAACTGTCAGTCTGCAATAGTTCAAATCTTACTCATGCAAGAGTCTTTTGATTTACACTTATGTATGTACTTCCTGGAGGTGGTGTTTTTGCTTATTTATTGTATCAGAATACATAAAGTAAGTTATCTAGTTCTCTGAAGGAATAGGTTATCTTGGGACAGAATTCTACAGGCAAAATACTTCGATCTTAGTATAGCCTACCCTTAACTGAGCTTAATTTCTCTCTCTTCCCTTCCTTTCAAGCCAAAGAATTGCAGAACTATATATATATGTATATATATATATATATATTTTCCCCTCTTCAACTAATGTGTAAATGGCCAGAATCCATTAGTGGCTGCCTTGCTTTGATTGCCACAGAGCTCCAATTTGGTTCTCTCTCCAATGGATTTTCACTTGGATAGCAGCAGAACTTTTAATTTAATGACTTGTAGTTAAAAGCCTGCTAGGAACAGCCACTTTCCTAGCTGCAAAAGCTGTCATCTTTTTACTGTCTTGGAAATCATTTGATGCTGAGATCAGATTTCCATAGGATTTTTTTTCTTAGATTAAAGGCTGTGCATGTGTCAGTGGCACATACTGGGACCTGAAAGAGTTTATTCTGTTCTATGAAATATCTAATGGGGTTGTGGGAGAGGTAAAGGGAGAATAGCAAGTGACACAGCCAGCTGTTCGGTTGAATAAATTGCAGATAATAAGTTTAAAGGCACAGAACATTTCTGTGGCCTTTGTAAAGCTGTGATGCACAGTGGCAGATTCAGAGCTAGGTAGTTCTTTAATGAAGAATGGAAGTCTAGAGAGGATCTGTGGGATGCCAGAGAAGTTTCTGCTTATAGCAAATATATTTGGCATGAAGTATTTCCAGAGTCTCACTTCCAATATGCATGAACTAGGCAAAATGAAGTATGAAAGCTTGTATAGCCAACTTATCCCATTTTTATGACAAAACCCACAGATTTCTTCAGTACTCATAGCCTGCCTTACTTAAAGCTTTGCAAGTCTCTGGTCTGCAAAAAAGCAACAGAGTTTTTGTTTCAGAGGCATGGAGCAACGAAACCTAGCAGTGCCACGCTCTCTTCCAGCTTGGATGGGTAACAAGTAAACAATCTTACTATTTCTGCTGAAACTAGCAGTAGTCATTTTTTCTGTCTCTGTAGTTGCGTATGTTTGGATGCAAGCCAGGCACGAACATTCTGGTGGATAACACCAAATCCCTTAGCAAAATTCTTCTACACAGACCTATCTCTGGCTCTGTCAATGGAGAGAATGTGAGAAGTATGTATCATTTCTGTTTATAATTGTGGCCCCAAATAGTAAACTGTTCTGTTTCTTTGTTGGGGAAATTCCAATCAATGATGGAACTTAAGAATTGTTGCTATAATAATTCAGACCTTTAAGTTGTCAATTGCTTTGAGATTTTAGGGATGGGATGTAAATGTTCAGTTCTGGAAGCTTTATTCTGTATTGTTCAAATATAATAGCAACATCAACTTAAGTTACTTTTGAAGGTCTGTGGCTTTTTTTAGGCAGATTTCAGGAATAACACAAGAGACTAAGCAAGCTAGAGACCTAGAACAGCAGTGTGTGTCCTCTGGAAGGATGGTGCTCTTAATAATAGATTGAAGGACAATTTACACTACAGGAAGATTCTTATATTTCATCTATTAATCCAATTTCTTGAAGTATGCACATAGGTTTGGAATAGCAAGTAGTCGAATACCATGTCAACTTTTCTATTTAATTTATTAATTAGCTTTTAATTTTAAAACTGGCATTTAAGCCAGTGCTGAAAATAGTCATGAAAGTTGTGTCTGCACTGACCCAACTGTAGATACAGCTACAACAGCAGGAAGCTTTTGCACCTACATGTATTTTCTGTACAGGAGCAATCACAGATGTATTGGATTGCCTGAGGCAATGCGTGTGTTTGCTTGAAGGAAAACATGACAACATGAGCACTGTGTTTATACAGTAAATGAAAAAACGCAATGTCTGAGAAGGACATAATAATCCATTAAAGGTTATTATGGACACAATCCCTTAAGGATTATTATGAAACAGGTTGCAAATGCGTCGCTATTAAGGAAGTAAAAGCAATGGAGCAGATAAATAAAGAATGAACTCCTTTGACAGAGGAGTTGCTATCTGGCCTGTCATTTTTTATTTATTTATTTATTACCTCCAAGAAGCAGAGAGACAATGAGATCTGACGCAGCCTTCACAATGCATGTGTCTTCAGCTTGTGAGCTACCCTGGAGCCTCAGCAGGATCTCAGACAGCACCTCTTGCACACCTGCCTCCACCAACTGTACTTTCAAAGCATCTGTGGAGATCACAGTAAGAGCTCACTAACAACTTCTTTGGTCCTTGCCAAATATTTTAAACTAGGAAGCTAAATCCTTGAATTTAAGATGATTTCTTTCTAGCTATGGTGATTTTTTTTCTTTATTTGTTTTTGCTTTTTTTTTTCTGTTTTATTTGTAACAAACATTGTTATCAGAAAAATACCACCAGCATAACGAGTAAAACTTCTGCACTGATCTTTGTTATTTTTTTTGTATTGCCAGTCATAAGTTTTCATACTTTGAAAACTGGATGGGTTGTCTTGCTTTTCTTGATGGGTTCTTGTCAGTTTTTGCTACACTAGGCATCTTCTGATACGTGATTGTCAAATTAATTTGTCCAAACGAAAACTGGTCTTCACTGCTTTTCTGTTTCAAACTCATATTCTCTCATGGTATAGATCTGCAGTGTCATAGATCCAAGAAAATAATTAAAATGCTCTTCTATTCCCTCCTTTCTTTGTTGCCTTCCCTGATAAATTTGTAAGTCTTAGACCAGGATTTCATATGTTCTTGGGGCTTTATTTCCCCAGAAGGGGTTGCTGGTTCCATTGATGGGATTCCACATCAAAATCAAAATGTTCACCTTAAACTAAATACTAGTACTCTCTCTCCCCTTGTTCTCGTAAGCCAACAGAAGCCTTACCATTTTCTGCAAGTGCCTGAAGAATCTCAAAGACAATTTCTAACCTCTCATGGCTCTCTGCTCTTCTCAATTGCTTCACCAACTGTTCAGCCACCTTTGTCTTGCTTAGAGCTTCCTTAGCTGTATCTGTATATGATATAAAGTAAGGATTTAGTGTGTTTCTGTATTTGAATTCCTCTTCTTTACTGCATTTTAATGTAATTCTTCTAGCTATAACCCTATAGTAGCTGTCAAATTAATACTAGCCTAATTCCATTGATTCCACATGTAAATTCATCCACAGTATGATCATTTCCATTATCAAAATGGCATGTCACATGCATGTTTGCTGTACTAGTATATTTTCTGCTTTGATTAATTAGATGGTTCTGTCTAAGATTAGATGGTTCGAATCTAGCTGGTATCATAAACATCTGCAAGATGCATCTTGATAAATACACATTTTAAAGCTCACTGCTGTATAGCAGAAAATGAATAAAATTTGAATAGAAAATAGTATTCAGTAATATAAGAAATCTACAGAGGATGGAGCTGGCTGGAAGATAACAAATGTGATACTGTACCCGCTTTCCTACCTCTCACCCATAATGTATGGGGCAATAGATCAGCTGTAAAGTAAAACCTTACATGAAGTATGGTGGTAATTTCTGTGGCTACTCCATGATTGCGTATTAGCTTTAAAAAAATGTCTGTGGGCATTCTGTATGTGCATGAAAGGATAATGGCAGAGTGAAAGTAACATTTTGCTGCAAGATATAAAACCTTTTACTTACCAAGGTCTGCAAGATTGCATAAGGCCAGTAGGTCAACGTGGACAAGCGGTTCACTCTCTGCATAGTCAGTTAATATTCGGACTAGGGATGTGATAACTCCCACCTTCACCAGCTCTTCCTGAAGATCCCCTGATAACAGCAGGCATAGAGATTAAAAGTGGTTAGACGGGACCAATTAAATCAGTAGAAGGGGACAGCTGAGGTGAGTTCAGCAAGATAGTCTGCCTAATTCTTACAATTCTGCAGTTTTGTGTTCAGGCTAATGTGTGTTCTGAATGGGTGTGTGCATAGGAAGTCTAGATTTAGACTAGAGTTTTGGTTTTTATCACTTAGGAGGTCTAAGGATTCTATTGTTATAACTCTGCTTTGATTTGAGTAATTGAATCATTGTAAATATAAGGGCAGTAAAACGAGCATCTTGGCTAGTAGTACACATAGTAGCCTTATTATCCTATGGTGTTTTTGACCTGAAGGGCAGGGAGAAGGAAGGGACCAGAACCACTAATAAAACGGAGTTTGGTGTTCTGCTATGAGGTTGGTTTGTTTTGTTTTGGGGGAATTTTTGGTTTTGGGAGAGGTTTTAGGGCATTTGATGGGAGGCTTTTGAGGGGTTAGAGGGAGTTTGGGGGATTTTTTTAATTCTTCAAGGGGGGGAATTGAGCTTTGTTTTGGGGGGTTTGGGGGTTTTTGTGCATGTATCTTGTTATTTGTTGGCTTTTTTTCCATTTTGGCTGTTTTTTCCTCGTTCCCTAAAGTCTTTGAAATAAGAAGCTTTTCTTGTACCTGGGTTATTATAAGATGCTCTTGGGAGGTAGGCTATTTTAAAGTTCTATGAGAATTACCGTGTTTCGGCCTTTTCAAGTTATTTGCTCCAAAAGCTGGTAGTCTCTAGGATATATGAGTGCTTGAATTCAGTATGTCTGGCATCTTTATAGCCAGAGCTAGATCCTCAAACAGCTGGATAACAGTGATATCAGTGTAAATTATGTGAAGCCAATGAAGTACAGTAAGTCAAAATGAAAAATTTGGATCTAATTGTACATACTATTCTTGGGGTTATCTCCATCCAATTGCAGAATTAATGAGAAAGCACTATTTTGTAGATTGTTTTAAAATGCATGAAGCCTAAAATCTACAATCATTTTGAGAATGCTAAGAGCTATGAATGTAGAATTTGTCAGTGACAGGTGTCTAACAGTGTTATGACACTTCTAAAGGTGTCTTGACTGCAGCTCAGATTGACAGCAAGCAAGAAGAACACTAGGAAGAATGTTCAGGTGCTATTGTAGGTTAAGTGCAATTTAATTAAGAAAGGACTAAAATTATTTTTTCTATAGTATCTTTATTGCTGCTGTTGATGTTTTTATCAGACCTTAGTCACAGTCATGTTGTCAAATCTCTGCTGGTCTGTGCTCTGACATGGCCATATGCTGAATGAGGATTGGTGTGTAGTAGTGGTATAAGTCCTGTGTCCCTCAGCAAATACATCCCTCTCATTTGCAGAAAGTTGGTAAAATCTATACTAGGTCCCTATTCTTGAAATTCCCAGGAACAATGCAGAATAAAAGATACTGGGTGAAAAGTTTCGTATTAACTCTAACAGACAATAAATCTTTTGAGTTGGTCTGGAATTTAGAAGTTTTAAAATATATATTTTGACGGGCAAGTAAAAGAGGGGTATTTCTTATGAAGACTGGTTGGCAAGTCTGGAGAAGAAATTTCCTATTTGCAAGCAATAATCCTTAGAGAAGAACTAGGACAGTATCTCTACTATTGTAGGATAAGTGCAATTTAATTAGGAAAGGACTAAAATTATTTTTTCTATAGTGTCTTTATTGCTGCTGCTGATGTTTTTATCAGACCTTAGTCACAGTCATGTTGTCAAATCTCTGCTGGTCTGTGCTCTGACATGGCCATATGCTGAATGAGGATTGGTGTGTAGTAGTGGTATAAGTCCTGTGTCCCTCAGCAAATACATCCCTCTCATTTGCAGAAAGTTGGTAAAATCTATACTAGGTCCCTATTCTTGAAATTCCCAGGAACAATGCAGAATAAAAGATACTGGGTGAAAAGTTTCGTATTAACTCTAACAGACAATAAATCTTTTGAGTTAGTCTGGAATTTAGAAGCTTTAAAATATATATTTTGATGGGCAAGTAAAAGAGGGGTATTTCTTATGAAGACTGGTTGGTAAGCTGGTTTACTCCAAAGTCTGGAGAAATTTCCTATTTGCAAGCAATAATTCCTAGAGAAGAACTAAGACAGTATCTCTGTTGTGTCTGGTGCACTGTGGTGGCTTT